AAATATTTTACATCTATTTACAATTTCAAAAAAAGGTTCCTACTATCACATCATAGTATGAGGTTGGTTGGACAAGTGGGCCCCCATCGTCTAGTGGTTTAGGACATCTCTCTTTCAAGGAGGCATCGGGGTTTCGAATTCCCCTGGGGGTAGGGTTCTTTGAAAGGAAGCTTATAATGTATTAATTACAAAGTTGAGTAGTAATTTGGTTTTTCCTGGGTCGATGCCCAAGTGGTTAATGGGGACGGACTGTAAATTCATTGGCAATATGTCTACGCTGGTTCAAATCCAGCTCAGCCCAATCATTCGCAAATCTAAATAAGAAAACAGAACGTGGACTTGAAAAATATCTCAGAACTATACTGATAGATAGGTAAAAACAAATAAAAATTTTGACCGGATTCCTTATTTGACGGGGATTGTAGTTCAATTGGTTAGAGCACCGCCCTGTCAAGGCAGAAGCTGCGGGTTCGAGCCCCGTCAGTCCCGATGGATCCAAAGAATAAAGAAATAAGTTGACTGCTTCTCATTTTTATCTTGAAGTTTTGTATGGGATTAAATCCCAAGTTATTGCGAAGTAAAAAAAAACTACGAGATTATGGAAGTCAATATTCTTGCATTTATTGCTACGGCCTTATTGATTTTAGTTCCTACCGCTCTTCTACTTATCATTTACGTAAAAACCATAAATAAAAAGAATTAATTAGTATTTAATCTATTTTAAAATAAACTTGTTTTCTGGGTTAGATCATTATATTACTACTATTAAATAATATGTTAAAGCACGAAACTCATATTAGGACAGAAACTTAGAAGAAATCTCTAGGGCCTGTAGAAGCGGTCTCTCCCTCAGCGTAGGGTTTAGCTTCTTCCGCCGTTTTTGTGCGGTTTAGGTGTAGATCGGCAACATGGCCGTGACCGAGTTCGCGGGGAGCAGAGTGGGGCGCGGCAGCTTCTCGGCTCAGACGGAGGACGGCGCCAAGGACGACGAAGGGGGTCCGTTGCAGACGGAGGGGGCTGAGAACATGGAGGCGTTAATCGGCAAGTACGGCGGCATGGGGCTGGGACTGTCGGAGGAGGAATTGCTGCTAGATGACGAGGAGGAAACTGAGCAAGAACCTGTGGCAGCGCGCAAGGCAGTGGAAACCTACCCTGTCGTGGGTACTATTTTGACAGATAAAGCGGTAAAGTTCCAATTCTTCCGCGATCGGATGGCGTCTTTGTGGTGCCCGGGTAAGGGTGTTATGATTCAAGAGATTGGAGAGAAGAGGTATCTGTTTACATTTTACCACTTAATTGATAGAAATCGCGTGCTAAATGATGGACCTTGGTTGTATGATCAGAACCTGTTAGTTTTGAAAGCTATTGAGCAGGGTGATACGCCCCTGAAGGTGCCGCTTGATAACAGTTGAATTCTGGGTACAGGTGCACAATATCCCTTATGGATACTCTAATTTGGGAAATGCCCGTAAAATTGGGAACTATTTGGGTAGTTTTGTTACCTGGGATGATAACCAATTTGATGAGAAATGGGAAGACTATACGGGTTAGGGTCAAACTGAATGTGGGAAATCCCTTAAAAGTGGGTATCAACCTGAAGAAAGGTAAATGGGTGGACTTCAAATATGAGAAACTCCCTAATATTTGCTTTGCGTGTGGAATAATTGGACATGCTGAAAAATTCTGTCCATTAATGTATGAGCAAGGTGGAAAAGAGGTTATGAGACCTTTTGGGCCATGGCTACGAGCAGGGGAGGACGTCCCCGCCTATCCTTGGGAAGCAAATGGCTAGTTAACGATGGAGGGTCAGGAAGGAGTCTTATGGGAGTGCAAAAGTATCTAAATGAGAAGCAGGACCAGGGCCAGAGTTCTGGACAGCTCAAGATTCAGGAAAAAGGGGAAGGGTTGAACCCGGAGGGAGCAAGGACCGCTGGCAATGGAGTGGGTGAGCAGAAGAGGAGGCGGGCCTGGGATGCACTAGAGCAGGAGCAATCAGGGGAGGAGGCTATGGTTCTGGACAGCACAAAAAACAGGGAAGGGGCGGGCTGGGTTCCTCAGACCCGCCTAAATCAGTGAAGATCTGGGGCTGATGGAGTTTTGAAGTTGTTTTAAATTTTAGACTGTTTTCTCTTTCTGTTGTTTTATGCTGGTGTCAGCGAGTACGTTTGTTTGTTGTTATCTTTATTTCTGTTAAGACTCTAGAACATAGGACAGGTGATAGAGGGCTAGGTTTACCAGTCACTGGCTCAAGTAAGCCCAATTTAGGATCAGCGAATCTGGTTGCTTCTTATGAGGTGGCAGGTTCTAAGTCTGGTTCAAGAGCAGACGGTAGGCCTTGGGCTCTATGTCAGTTTGTATTCTGCTTATGTTCTTCCTTATTAATATAAGCCACATTCTTCCAAAAAAAACACGAAACTCATAGAATAGACTAATAGTAATAGATAATATTTTAAGAAAGTCCAAAATAGTGTAAGTATGCTAAATTAATAAATAGATGACTCCTTTTTTTAACCCACACTATCTATTAACTATTAGCGTTCTTTTTGTTTGAGTAATATGTTTTCTTGAAAGGTTGAAAGAGCAGAATAGATTATTTACATGTTCTAAAACATTTTATAAAAAATGATGAATACATTTTGATTTATGCAAAATTAAATTTAGTAGAACCTCTATATATAGTCCACTCATTCCCCATTCTACTAGTGAAAGAGAAAAAGTAAAAAACTACCATTAAAGCAGCCCAAGCAAAACTTATTATATCCATAGTCCCCTATCATTATAACTAGTTGATATTTACCAAGTTTCTCATCAATTATAAGAAATTCATAAGAATGGTGAAATCCCCGCGCAGAGTACACATAAAAAATGAAAAATATGCAAAACCACAAAAGGATTTAGCGTTATTTTCCTAATTTAAGAAAAATAGCAATCAATATACAAATATAAAATCGCTAATTCTCATTCCGATCTAATCTAGCATCCTCCATATGATTATATAGGAGCTAGGAAACGAGAAAAAGCTTGCATCTGAGAAATCGTTTTTCGAAGTTTACCCGTTGGAATGGAGAAAACTAGGAAAATGTGAGTTTTTGGTATGATTTTTCCCACACCAAAAATCACAAGGGATTTGCAACCCTTTATAAGGGAAAACCCCCCCTAAGGAGTTAAGATTCCTAAAGGGAAAGGCTCTCTCACGCACGCAGGGGGTGTGGATCAAATCCCGAAACCGAAGAACAAAAAGCGCGACTTGCGTGTGCGGGCGACCTGCACACACGAATGCCGTCCGAAAATCTATCTTCTACAGATAACGTTAATTTTTGTTCTTCGGTGACGTTTTTTTTTTTGCTCCATTAACTGCCAACGCTCCTAGCACCCCGGGAGGCAACGAATACGTTTTAAGGAAATCGTGTGTTGCACGAGCTTTGACTTGTTCTGCTTCATCTCATTTCTTGTTTTCGTTTTGTCATTTTATTTAATTAATTTTCTTTGTTTTTCGAAACACACCCAACACAAACATGTCTTATGCTAAAAATATTAAAATGAATACTAAGGTACGGTGGATCGATCCCTGTTCCAATCCGGCTAGGAGAAATGTTATAATGTTAAAATGGTTTATGTAGTTAAGGAAAATAACACAATAGCTTTATAATTTATTATTCTTGATTACAAGGATATGAAACAAATGGAAAAGTATCCTAAAGAAATAGTGAAATACAACAAAGTATTTGAAATGATACAACATTATTGATATTTCGAAATGTAAAAACTATTTTAATTAGCTATAGGACAACAATGCCAGTTTGCAATAAATCAATATAAAAGTGATACCTACCTTGTACTTAATTAGTTTTTTTTGGAAGGTTTAGTTAATTACAAGGATATGACATGGAAAAAACATTCCACAATGTTTATGATTAGATTTAGCTGCGCGAGGAACAAATGAAATCCTAGAGAATACTGAAATCGGCAAGGAAAATGATCCCTCTTCATTCTAAGAGCACTCTTATCTTTTTCCATACCTTGAGGCTAGTGATGGACCCGGGCCGGGTCAAGGCCCGGTCGGGCCTCGGGTATTGTAATGGTAGGCCCGGGACCGGCCCGGGCAATGGCCGGTTCCGGTTCGGACCGGGCCACCCGGCCGGGTCACGGGTCGGGCCACCCGTCGAGCCGGGCCGGGCCAGTATATATTTTTTTTAATTAATTATATATTATATAAATTCCTATTAAAAACAAAGTTCAAGTGCATTTATTTGAAATAAGAACTACATTTGAGAATTGATAAAAAAATAACAATACGAAATACATTGGCTAATGAATATCAATTGGGATTTCCGCCACCGTTGGTTGTTGTTTTCCCTTTGTCACAGGACTTCATATGTTTTATTGGCATCCCGTATCCGCATGAACGCCCCAAGCAACACTCTTTCTTGCACCACCTGCAAGTTGCCCACCACAGTCCGGTCTTCGGGTCCTTCCACTTGTCAAAATTGTTTTGCATAAGGGAAGATGTACTTTCTATATTTAAAAATTAAAATGGTATATGTATAAGTAGGAATGTAGGATAATAAGAGAAGATGAAGATGGAGAAGAGTTGGAGAAGAATTGGAGAAGAGGTGTAGAAAAATGTTAGAAAATAGATGTATTTATAGATGTTTTTGAACCCCACTCCCCACACCACCACCACCGGGACCCCCCTGCCCCCCACACATAGCCCCAACGGCTATATAGCCGTTTGCGAGGTTTGATTTCAATTTTTTTTTAAGTTATACATATTGTGAAATAAATTAATTAATTTAATGAATTAAGTAAAACTAAAACTATTTGTACTTAGAAAAGTGGTTTGATTTATAATTTACAAATGTTACAAAATAGGTGTATAAATATTTAAACAAATTACATATTGTAAATGTATTTTTAATTTAAAAACCGGCTTTATATTTTAGAAAAATAATTTTAAGTCGTTAGTTTGGAACCAATTAATTAATTTGAGAAGTGCTACATATGAAAAAGTGAACACATATTTATTTGAAATATGAAGTACAAGTTTACAAATTAATTTGAAGTACAACTACAAATTTACAATTTTGAAATATGAAGTACAATTATAAATAAATTTGACAAGTGCTATAAAATACATTTTATAATAAATTCTAAAATACTAATCAATCGGAATCTCCGGCATAGGTAGAGCCATCATCGGTTGTTGAGTCATCCATAAAATCTTGGGAGGGGGTGATGCTCATTTCTTGAGTTCTACGTGCGGCCTTCAACCAATCGTGGTAGCATATAAGAGCATCCCCAATGCATGTAGTCTAGTGTAGGTTAAGACATGCCACCTCATTAAGTTAGACATTTTACACCTTGAAATCTCTCCAATGCATCTAGTCTATTGCTGAGTTGGCAAAAAATTAATTGCTCATTGTTTACATGACTTTCCGAGTGTAGAAAGGCCGAAGGACATGCTGACTCACCATTTGTATTAAAAACAATGCGTCGATGTAAAAAGGAATTGCAAACCCTATGAAACAAGCTATGCAGCCGTTTACGTATGTACGGCATAGTGGAGTATTTTAATTAATATAGTACTCCACCTCATCAATTAATTAGGCCGCAAGACTACATACATTGGAGGCTTTTCTATATTTCATTGTCCGGTCATTCCACTTTGTTTCATTTTTATTAGAAAGCCTGTTAATAATTTGACATTTGGCACAATTTATTTGGACTAGAAAGGAATGCATTGTGGATGCTCTAAGAGCATCTCCAATGCTAATACGTTAACAGTGCATATGTGGCATTAGGGATAGCCAATCAAAAAATAATAAATAAAATATCTTTCTCCTTATTTGAGGGATCTTATATCATTTTGGTAAGTTTTTCTTCACAATGTCAAGCACAATGTCTAGATGTAGACATTGTGGTTGACACTGCAGAGGAAAACTTACCAAAAACACAAAAGATCGTGGAAAGATGGAGAGAGAAATGTCATAAAATCAATCTTTTGTGTCTATCTCTCTCATGCCACATGTGCACCGTGCACATTCTAGCATTGGAGATGCTCTAAGCTCTCAAGAGACTCCGCGCTCAATCTCGATCTAGATGCCGTTAGGTCGTTGCGGGCCGAGCTAAATTCTTGTTCCACAGCAACTGTTGAAATCGGCATTGATAGTACTTGCTTAGCCATCCGTGCTAAAATCGGGAACGTTCTTTCTTTTGACTTCCACCAGTCTAGAACGTCAAAGTCATCATTTTCTTCAAAATCAACTTCATATGTTAAATACAAAGTAATCTCATTCAATGCACTTTGTTCAGTGACGTGAGTTGTTTTTGTTTTTTTCATAAGATTGCCAAATGCAGATTTAAAAATCGATTTTCCTTTAGATGAAGATGTTCGTGACGGGGGAGGGGGAGCGTTGCTATATTGTGCACGAAACTCATTAAATAAGGCATAAAATAAAGTACTAACCTCGTTGTATTCCGTTTTCGGATCTATGGGGTTATCGTCATACATTGGAAATTCACCAAAAAACGCAAGATAATAGAAGTTGAAACAATCTTCCAAATTGGCAAGTCTATAACGAGGATCGAGAATAAATGCAATACCATAAATATGGGGAATATGCGCATAATATTTTAAAAACTTTTCCTTCATAGAATCACAAAAATAATGAACGAAAACGGCATTCTGAAATTCTTTAAAAGCATCGGCGAGATTAACAGCTTGTGGAATAAATTGGTTTGCGGTAGGTTTATAAACATGACTAAAAGTTTCAGTAGCATTAAAAAAATATATCAAAACATTACAAATTTTTTCGCAAGTGTCGATCTCAGCCGCGTTTATAATATAGTTATCATCTCGGCTTTGAGATGAAGAACCGGCAAGTTCTTTACCTTTGCGGGATTTCTTCCTCCCAATCTCGTTCCTTCGATTGCGTTGGAGGTTACCCAAATCAACCGAATATCTACCACCTTCCATCTTAAAAATGTAACAAATATTAATTGACAACCAATATAATAATGGATACAAAACTAATGCAACTAATTAAAACTATTTTAATTAATACTTCAAAGTAATTTAGTGCAAAGTAGAATTAATGTGTGACTTTAAAATTAGAATTATACCAACTTTTGAAGTACTTTAATTTAGTAAAAACTACTTAAATAAAATGTTAAGTACTTTAATTAAATGATTGAACTACTATTTCTTCCTACAAATATAATGAATTATAGTTTATTAACTATAATAACAATTAATGAGAATACTAATGAAGTAAATAACTAGTATAATGAAAAATGTAACAACAATGCTAATTAACTAATTAACTAGTATAATGACAAATGTAACAAGAATGCTAATAAACTAATTAACTAGTATAATACTAGATGTAACAATAATGGTAATGAACTAATTAACTATTATAATGATAAATGTAACAAGAATGATAATTAACTAATTAACTAGTACAATACTAGTTATAGTAAGTAATATATAATATAATGTTTATAGTATATAATATATAAGTATACACTTTAATATACACTTCAATATAAGATGAGTAATACACTTATATTTTATACTTTAATATATAAAGTATATATTAAGTAGATGTAGAATGTATGTATTAAGTGGATATAATAATTGTATAAGAATTAAATATTAGAGTATAATGGAGAATTGGAGATTGGAAAATAAGAAAATAAGTATATATAAAATAGATATTATAAAGTATATATAAAAGTAGATATTATAAAATAAGTATATATAAAATAGATATTATTAAGTAGAGAAGTAGATATTATTATGTATTAAGTATATAGTAATAGTTTATAAAGTATATTTAATACTTTATTATATAAAGTATATATATTAAGTAGATGTAGTATGTATATGTATTTATAAGTAAATAATTAATATATAAGTAGATATAATAATTGTATAAGTATTAAATAGTAAAATAAAATATAAAGGAGAATAAGAGAATTTGAGAAGATGAATATGGAGAATTGGAGATGAGTAGAGAGTAGGATTTAGGGAGAGTTGGAGAAGAGGTGTGAAAAAATGTTTAAAATTAGGAGTATTTATAGGTTTTTTTTAACCCCCACCCACCACCCCCCACCCCCGCAAACGCCCCGGACCCCCCCCCCCCCCCCCCGGTACCCCCCAACGGCTATATAGCCGTTTGGGAAGTGGCTGTTGAGCCAAATTCTTTTTTAAAAAGTTAAAACAATTTTTTAAAAAAAAAATGACCGTTAGGCCCGGGCCCGACCCGGCCGGGCCACCAAAAACAGAACCCGAGCCCGGACCCGCTTATCCCACCGGTTCGGTGCCCGAACCGGACCCGGACCCGAGAACCGGGCCGGTTCCGGGCCCGTACAGTGACGGGCCAGGCCGGTCTCGGGCCGGGCGGCCCCAACCGGGTCCACCACTACTTGAGGCTCATATATATCATATAATGGAAAGTTGAACCGAACTATTGGGATAGGAAACGTTTCTATGGTTCAAAACTATAGGAAAATGGTCCCTCTCAATTCCAATGTGCATTCAACAGAACATCTTGCCAATTATGTTGGGATATTATTCAAGAGGATGCCGTTTCTATGGTGTAACACGTACTTCTTCACAGGGGGTTATATTTTCTGCAGTTACTAAATGAATAAGTACAAGTAAAAAGCTTGATGTTTAAAACAAGATAACAGTTCAAGTAATTACCTGAAAATCATGACTTCATAGGTACAACATACATAGAGAACTTATGTTCAGACACTCCCAACAGCAAGTTGAGCGAGCATGCTCTCCTAAGGAGTACAGATAACATTCCTTTATTACAATCCATAACATCACACGAAGAAGGCACTCAACCAGAATCTACTTGCACAAGTAAAACCACACATCTATTGACTTGTATGTGTTTTCTATACGAATTTCAGACTTGGATTGTATATTCTGGCATACACACCATCAGACGGAAAGACCTTAAAATCCTTCCACTCTTGAGTTATATCACTATTGTTTTCCTTGTAAACTTGAGCGTACCCCGTAGAATTTGAAATAAGTTCAACACACTTCCTATTTTTAGTTAAATAAATCATCTTCAGTTCTTGAGTTTCCAAATCAACCAATACTAAATACGGTACATAGTTTTCTTCATCTGGATAACCAACAACACATGGAGCAAGGTCATCCTCGGATTCCTCGGATTCTTCGCTTTGATAACTGATAACACACGGATATGCTATCAAATGAAAACGTCCACCACCCTGATTCCAAATTCCAATAGGCAACCACGATTCACGCCATGTCCCACCTCCTAGTGGGCTCCGATACTCATGCCTGTCTATGCTTGAACAACATTCTACGCTCCACTGTTTATGCCAATCTACACAATCAGCGTTTTCACTCATTAACCATACCTCAATGCAATTGCTATTCTCAGGAGGACATAGACTAATCATAGCAATAGTCTCATTCATCACTGTAAAGGAAATATCTTCCCATCTGGTTGGCAACCCGATCGTCCCAAACACTTCATCCTCCAAGTCAAACCATAGCAACCGCTCACAAGGTGGTTCTGAATCCAGGACCTCATGTGTTTCTACCCGCCAATAGTACTTCCCCTTACAATAAAAATCTTCCTGAGAACTCACAGGCACATTTGGCAGAGCATCAATTTGCCTCCAACTCCATGAACCATCACCATCTTGGCTGCAAACCATTACACATTCATAATTCTGTTTCTTGCCCCCGAAAGCACAATAATTAAAATACCAGAGCATGACAACCTTCCAAGCCATGCTCTTAGAAACCCCAAACCCAAAGCCTTCATACATAGTATAGCTGGCTAGTATTTCAGTGGGTGGGCTGTGAGGCACCTTAATCGAAGGCAAGGCCTTGATTTCCCTGATGAACGGGTTCCATATCAGAATGTCGAAATTCAAATCCGTCGAAATCTCACAAGAGGTGATAAGAAAATCAGGTTTACCCAGAATAAAACATAACATTCCATCGCAGCAACTTACAAATCTTGTCATTGAATTAGGGAAATCTAGGTATGTGCACCCTATATCATCAGACTCCGGTTCATTGTACAGCAGACTGAACATTTTATTAGAATAGCCAAGATGAGTAGATGGGATCTCTAGAATAGCATAATCACATTTCTCTCGATTAACTTCATAGAATCTATGCAACAATTGATGATTGTTCTTAATCAAATCATAGAAGCATTTGCACACGCACTTACAACGCATAAGAGATTTCACTGGCAGCTTCACCAAGATCTCAATTAGGAGCTCCCTCGGTAACTCGCAGTCGTCCATTCCCGGATGCAGATCAGATCGTATTTCCTATCTTTTTCGTAAGTTCAAGTAATTTATAAATGCGGTGGAAGGTAAATTTAAACATTGGGAATTTAATTTAATAGATTCTAGATTTATTAAAAGAAGTTGGACAAAATTACATGGACCGAGGCAGTGTTCTAAAAGGCTTGAAAAGGCGCCGCCTAGGCAGGCCTAAGCCCAAGGCGTCGACCAAACGCCCCGCACCACTTTGATGCGTGAAGAAAGGCGGCCCACAAAGGCCGGCCCTTAAATTTTTTACTATAAAAGCCCCAAGGAAGTAGTCTACAGCTGCGAGGTCTACCGCCCGTCAAAACTGAAGAGAAGAGAGCTACGGAGTGATACTTATAGCTATTTTGGAATGAGAAGTGTTCACTTCAACCGGTGTGGGAAAATAAGACTAGAATTGCGCGTGCAGTAGAGTAAGGAACACATGAATGACATGATATTATAGGATGTTGCAAACTTTCAATCACCATTGAATTGCTAACCAAACTTGCTTAAATTACATACTCCTTAAATTGCAATCTACTCTCATCATCAACATTATTATTATTATTATTATTATTATTATTATTATTATTATTATTATTATTATTATTATTATTATTATTATTATTATTATTATTATTATTATTATTATTATTATTATTATTATTAGAAATGTTTACATATTAATGACTAAAAAAATGTTTAAACACAATGTGAACTTTTACGTGTAGTAATTTTAATCATAATAACTTATATTCAATTTTTACATTTAGGTGACATAACACGATAATATAATAACATGCATGTAGTCATATTTTTAAAATAAGTTTTATTTGAGTAATATTTTTTAAAACACCTTTGGTTATAATTATTATTAATATTATTTTTGTTGATATTATCAATACTACTAATATTTTTATCACTACAGAAAAAACTAGTATTTTATTATTCCACTATTTTTTCAGGTTTTGTGGCTAAATGAATATTTCACTATATGTTTACTACCTCCGTCCTATTTTAGTTAGTCATCATTGACTTTTTCGGTCAAATATGGTAAACTTTGATCAATTATTTTAACTAATATATTAATGCAAAATTTAATAATTTATACGTTTAACAAGGAACAATTTGATATCATTTTCATATTATCAATACTTTCTCTATATAAATATATAATCGGTCAAAGTTAGACACTATTGAATTAAAAAGTCAAATTTGACTAACTAAAATGGGACGGAGGGAGAATTTGTGAAATTTAAATTTTTTGTATTTTTTTTTTGTAGGGAAATTCAAAATATGATATTTTTGTATGATATTTATCACATATCACATTTATATAATTAGTGATAACTCTAGAAAAATTAAAACAAAGAGTAAAAATTACAAACGCCTTTTCACGCCTAATCTCCGCCTAAGCCCGCCTAGGCTCCAAAGGCTTAAGGCTTGGACGTGCCGCCTTGGCACGCCTTACGCCTTTTAGAACATTGGACCGAGGTGCTAATAAAAATTAAACTTTTGAATGATTATTAGTAGGTTAACTCAGATGATTCTAATAAAAGTCCGAAAGTTGATCCAAGTGAATTAATTTGCTAAATTTATTTGTTAGGAGAATAAAACATTCAAAAAAACTTCTTCGAGTCGGTGTTTGACATAGCGGGATTAGGATGTTTTCTTTTGGACTTTTTACAGTTCCAGGTCTGACCAGATCAGATCAGACTAGACTTAAACAGATCAGACCTGACCAGACCAGACCAGACCAGACTTGGATAGTTATAAAATACACAGAGACCAGACGTTTACCAGACCAGACCAGACCAGACTTAAACAGACCAGACCAGACCAGACCAGCAAATTTCAATCCAAAATAAATCCTTAATGGTTATTTTAGGAGGTTATACGAGATATATTTAAATTTTCTTCCCATTCTTGTCACAGAATGTAAAATAAACAAATAAAACATACAATTAATGTATGTTTCTAACCATTTAACAAATTAAAACTAATGTAGAACGTCCTTAGCTCGCCTGGAAAGACACATAATTCTTACATATGTAGTACGAGTAAAGGGTCAGTTTGGTCCTCGAAGTTGCAAAAAAGGGATCAAATAAGTCCTTATATAGAAGATTTTGTCCGGACGTGCCATTTGAGGTGGCTCCCGGTGGATTTTTTTGATAAAATGTTTTGAGCATCTTATTCATTAAGTCTAGTTTACTCATACCAAATTTTAGCTAAAAATTCAATCGGGAAGACATTCAAATGAATTCTTGAAGATAATTGTGCTTTTAACGGCACAGTTATCTTCAAGAATTTATTTGAATGTCTTCCCGGTTGATTTTTTATCTGAAATTTGGTATGAGTGAACTGGACTTAATGAATAATATGCTCAAAAAATTTCATCAAAAAAATCCACCTGGAGTCACCTCAAATGACACGTCCGGACAGAATCTTCTATATAAGGACTTATTTGACCCCTTTTTTGCAACTTCGAGGACCAAACTGACCTTATCCCTATGTAGTACTATCTCCGTCTCAAAATTTTTTGTCAAATCTCCAAAAATTTGAACCTTAATTTTGATTTGTATAATACTAGTATTTTTACTCGTGTCGTGCACGGGATATAATTTACTTTTATATTTTACTCCGTAAGTTTTTATGGAATATACAAAAAAATTTTGGCAGCATCGTTGTCTCTCCATGATATCTAAAAAGAGTGGATGACTGAATAATGATGTTGACATCACAACTTGATCTAAATTTCGTAACTCGTCATCTCGTCAAAAGACTAAACACCAACATCATCTTTTCAATCATCACGGTGAAGTTTACATTATTGTAAAAGGTTTTATAGACTCAAATGAGGATATTATGTACTCCATACATCTTTATTGAATATTGTAATTTGTGTATTTTTATTCTCTCAAGTTGTTTTTGTTTTTGTTCAAGTGTAACTGTGTAAGTTTCTTTTCGTTGTTTACTACATATAATACTTGATACATGGCAATTGGGAGTCTAGGACTTTCCCCATTTATTTTGGTGATTTACTTTTTGAGTTTATAAAAAAGTATGACCTTTAGATTTTAATAGTGGTGACGACGGTGACAGTGGGTTGCATGGCAACAGCAACAACATTAGTTTATTTTTATTAGAGCTATTGAGAATATTATGATCTTATTTTAGATAAAATAAGTGTGATAGAAAGAAGATTGCATGTTTTTTACTTTAATTTGGGAACATTTATTTTTATAACATATCTATCGGTCAAATGCTCATTAAAAATGTCAAGCAACACATTGTGAATAAAAAATAACATATCACATACTGCTCGTAGTAGATTAACAGCAATACGTTAATGACAATAAATGTATACTATTATTATATGTTTCCAAAGAGAACACATACCAAATGGTAGCTAATAATGAAAGACTCACATTTTGTCAACATGAGTGATGGATAGTGTACCCGGGAGGTAGCTTACCAGAAGAGTTATTTCGGGGAATAACCTAGAGAGAAGTCAGAGTAAGCAAGTGAGAGTGAGAGTCAAATGTATTAAATGAACTCGAGATGTTGGGATCGTTTACAAGGGGAAAGGTGGTGCTATTTATGGCAGCCATAAATGCCAAGCGCGTACACGTGTCAATCATGTGACGGCCGAGGGTCATCTCAATCGGGGTGGCACCGGCAATTGCATGTGCATCGCATTAAATGCGGTGGTTGGACGTGACGCCGCATTGAATGCGGTGGTTGCGTGTCTTCAGAGGAGGAACCTTTGTGAGGCGGTGACCCTTCGGCCCATTGGTGTATGGCCGAAAGCTTCATGTGTGGCTGAAGGCTCCCTGGACATACTGCTTTTCTGTCATTTTCTCCCAATAGCTTCCCATGCATAAAATTGGGAGTGTCCTGGAATATTGAGTCCTCGGCCATGGTGCCGAGGGCATCTCTATTCACATTGCGGGTTCCTTTGAGCTTGGGTCGTCATGTATGTCCAGGGGCGTTATGAAGTGCCGAGGGCCTCATGGCCAAGGGGTGACGAGAGCATCATAGCCGAGGGGGTACTGTTGTGGGTGTCGAGGGCATCATAGCCGAGGAGTACTGCCGAGGGCATCATGGCCGAGTGGTGTCGAGGGCATCATGGCCGAGGGGTGCCGAGGGAATCATGGTTGAGGGGTGCCGAGGGCATCATGGCCGAGGGGTGTCGAGGGCATCATGGCCGAGGGGTGCCGAGGGCATCATGGCTGAGGGCCTCATGGCCGAGGGGTGACGAGAGCATCATGGTCGAGGGGTACTGCCGAGGGGTGCCGAGGGCATCATGGCCGAGGGTCACTGCCGAGGGCTTCCAATGAATGTCTGGATTGCATGAGTATGTGGGTCAGGGGGTCCTGGATCATATACTCCATCAGGAGTCCCCCACTCCTTTTGTCGAGAGGTAGTCGAGGCAAAGGAGTAATTGAATATTCTAATTTTTGAAGTTTTCATTTTTTTTCATGTTCTGTTTCATGGAGGAAAGCCTGAGGGGTAGTCCCCCAGTCCCCCCCACTCATGCTTCCCGAAGGTGCTTCGGGCTGGAGGAGTTGTTGTCGTGCCGAGTTCCGTAGTTTCTAGGCCTCATAATGTGATAGTGCGGATGATGTTGAGGGCCTTGACCTTTCGTACATAATGGGGAGATGCCTCGTTAAAAACCTCACTACGGGAAAACCCAGTGGGAAACAATTCTAGTGAGGGAAAAAGAGTACACCAGATGCCGATTTGAGAATGAGGGCATGGCGCCAGGGGCCAGACTAGAATGATGATGGGGGCGATGGTCGCACGAAGCATGAGGGCGACGGTCGCCATGAGATGGGAGCCCAATCTCAAGATGAAGGCATGAAGGCGTGGCGCTGAAGGCATCCATGAGATGCTGACTTCAGCATGACGGCTGGCCTGAAATGATGAAGGTGATGGTCACCATCCAGGGAGGGATGGGAACCCCAATCGCATGAGGGAACGATGCTAAAAGCATACCTGAGCATGA